TAAGAGGGGACGTGATCGAGGTGATGTCAGTGTTCTGGAACCAGGTAGTGGTGATGGTGCCACTAAATTGTTCATTTCGAAAATTGTCAATTTGTGTAATTCAAAAACCCAACAACCCTACTCAAGTCAGTGGCATGCCTGGGCTAGGGGGTCCCGGGCCACCGGGCCGTTACCAGGACAAGCCACCGGCCCCTCTTCCCAGGTACTGGCCCCACGGCCTGAAGACTTCATGCGGCCCGGATGTGTTCAGCGGCAGCTCATACCCTGGGGTGCAGTCATACATGATCGTCCTCATGGTCACGTGCTGCATCATCCCGCTCAGTGTCATTCTGTTCTGCTACCTGCAAGTGTGGCTGGCCATCCGAGCGGTAAGCTCCTGTGCCCTCTTGGCTTCCCCCCGAGCTGGTAGGATCATGAGGGCCAGGGACGTCTGGGCAAGGACAGAGTCACCCAGCTCATGCTCCTGCCCCCAAAGCAGATGCGGATCTGGCAATTTCTTTGGGGCTGCAGTTACAGCTCTGGCTCCCTTGTCCTCATCCCTATAGGATGGGCAAGGACTGTGCCCCAGTCTGTGGAGGGGCCCAATAAGGGAACAGAGCTGTTTTCCTTCTGACCCAGGACAGTTCCCTTGGGGCAGCCAGATCTGCAAATGAAACCTGCAAATCGAGGGGTGTCTTTAAAAGGCTGCCACCAGAGGGTCCTTGTCCCTTTCACAGACCGTTGGGGCAGGCTAGGGAGTGGACTCACAAGTGCCATCTGCGACCCCAGGCCCACTCTCCACCCACCTCCCTGGGAAGCTGGTCCCATCCACAGCCATACCCCCACCCTCATCCCCACAGGCTGAGCTACCCCTGGGGAGCCCTTGTAGGAAATCAGAGCGAGGCAGGAGAGGTTAGGTCCTGGGGCGCTAAGAGCTTTGCGCCCCCTTGTGAAGAACACCGTAAGTTGTCTCTTTATCAATCAACTAAGCTCCAATTAGCTAATCTGGATGTGCCATCTGTCCTCGTTGGGATCCTGCTTGGCACAGGTGGCCGGAGGCCCTTCGGGGTGGTGCCTTCCCTATATGAAGCTGCTTGTGCCCACAATCGGATCAGCATGTGCTTGTAAGCTCTCTAGAGTGGAGGCCGTGGGCTCAAGATAAGCTCCACTAACCTCGCTACCTTCAGTCTGACTTCCTCCCCCCACCCCGTTGGTGGCCAGGGATCAGAACCAACTTAGCTAGCTCCCACAGGTATCCAACCATGGCTTGGGCCGTGTTAGGTCTGATTGGAGACCCCAGGCTCCAGAACGTGTCCTCAGCCCTCACGGTTGCCCCTCGTGCCCACTTAGCTGCCTGCAGTCAGTCCCTGCCCACAGCAGGTCGTGGCGGCCTCTGTCTTCTCCTTGTCAGCCCATGAGACCTGAGCACAGGAGGGGACACACTGATAAGGGACCAGATGAGGCTAAGAACAGCCTCCTTAGCTCCTTCCGAGACTTACTGGGAGTCATGCTAAGTCAAGAGCTTGGAAGGCCCCAGCTCAGGGCTGTCTTAGCCAGGCCCAGCTGCTACCTTAAAGCCTGCCAGTTCCCATGAGGCCACCCCAGGCAAGGTGTGCACTCATTCAGGTGGGAGCCGATTGCTGGCTGGCCATGGGTGCTGGAGCGAGTGGACCCATCGCCTTCTCCCCACAATTCCTGTCTCTGGGCTGCCCACCTCTTGCTGCCTCCCGGACCTGCTGCCCAAGCAATAAGAACACAGAGTCCTCTCAGACATGCAGCCCTGAGGGACTCTCCCACTCACTATCCCTTGGCACGACTCTCTGTCTCCTCCAGGTGGCAAAGCAGCAGAAAGAATCTGAGTCTACCCAGAAGGCTGAGAAGGAAGTGACACGCATGGTGGTGGTGATGGTTCTGGCATACTGCCTCTGCTGGGGGCCCTACACCTTCTTTGCATGCTTTGCTGCTGCCCACCCTGGCTACGCCTTCCACCCTCTGGTGGCCGCCCTGCCAGCCTACTTTGCCAAAAGTGCCACTATCTACAACCCCATTATCTATGTCTTTATGAACCGGCAGGTAAGTCACACCGTTGGCAGAGCAAACTAGAAAGAGACCCCGGAAGAGCCCCGTGATGGCTCCCACCTGGAGTCACATCTGGCCTCCGGGACAATAACCAGCATGAGACCCAAGTCCAGGCAGCTCTCTCTCTGGATCCTTTCACGGTGTCTGAGGGTTGGCATTTCTTGCAGTGTCTGAGCGCTGTGCGCTCTTTCCTTCTGCTGACCTGAGGGTTAGCCTAGAGCTCAAACGCCCGAGGATCACCTGAACAGGGCTACGTTTAGCCTAGACGTGCACTTCTTGCTTTTACAGGAGCAACTCTTCTCCCAACTTTCATCTTCCCACCTTCAAACCCTAACTCTAATGAGGACACAAAGAGGCCCTTCTTGGCTGCACTGACCTGTGGCTTTTGTGACTTTACGGGTTAGTTCAGGAGGGACACGCTGTGGTCCTGCCCAAGTTCTTGCCAGATGGCAGCCATCATGGGCTGGCATATAGGGCCTCCGCCGCAAACTGCCCATGACTCCTAGACTTCTTGGTAGGTTACAAGTGACCAATGAAGCTCATCATCTTCCAGGTGCAATTCGCCTCATTATTCCTTGAATCCATCACATTCACTTCAAGGTGCAATCGTGAAGTGACTTGATGGTGACCGGAAAAGTCCGTGGGTCAGAAATACCACCCCCTCAGGGTCCTCCCATTTCAGCAGACCCAGTCCACCCCTTCCAACCAGCTCTTCTCTTCTCTTCCATTTTACAGTTGCCCGTGACTCCGCCCCCTCCAGCCTGGCCCTGACTCTCTGTGGAATTCGTTAAGCATGCTTTTAGTCATGTTTAAATATTCAGTAGGGCAGTACCACGATTGATTCCCCAGGACTCCATTGCCGGCACCTCCACACCCAGAGTGTAATTCTGTCCCTGACCCGTTTCCTGTCTTTTCCACAGGTCCCTTCGGGTCTGACTTTCATTTGTGGAGTCCTAGGCTAGCTTGCCAAGTACTGTCTTTGCTTGAGTCTTCCCATGCCCCACTCCTAGCCAGATGTCTGCATTTCTGGATCTCTCCAGGCTTTTGAGTTTTTCTTTTATCTTTTCCACATTGTTATCGTTTCCCGTTGCATTCTGAGAACTTTCTGGAATAGGACTCTGTGAGGACAGGGAATTTTGCTCTTTTTATTTGCTGCCGATCCCTTTAGGATGCAGTCTGGTGTAGAATGGGTGCTCGGTAGGTAGACGTTGAGTGAACGTGTCAAATGAATTCCTCGGCCTCATCAGCCAGCTCTTCAGCCGAGTCGCTTCTGCCGTTCAGCCCATTTCTTATGTTATCGATTTCGACCATTATGTTTTTTATTTTTTAAAGTTTTGATGTTGGAGGTACCTGGAAGTAGTCAAGAATAGACCTGGAATATACAGGAAACGCATCTGGTCTGCATTCTCAGCGCATTGTGGTTAGCTCAGTGACGATCTGAGATATAATCTCAGAAATGAATACGGCCCAGATTGCTTTAGGGGCCAGGCAGCAAAGAGCAGGGCCCTCCTGGCGCTGGAAGACTCTCTTGGCTAAAGAGATGAGGTGGTGGCTAGACTGCTGTCTACCTAGTATCGCCGGGCCCCAAAATTGATGGGCTAGAAACAAGATGACAAACACATTCTCTTTCATTAAAATGCTTCTTCCCAGACATTCTGGAGACGAGTCACTCTATGCAGAGGCCACTTAGCTGGCATCATCTTTGGTCACCATATTAGTTCCCTGGGATGCCACGACAAACTACGGATTGGGTGGCTTTGAGGAACAGAAACTTATTGTCTCCCAACTCTGGAGGTCCGAAGTCTGAGACTGAGGTGTCAGCAGGGTTGGTTCCTTCTGAGGGCTCTCCAGGAGAATCTCTTCGTGCCCCTCTCCTAGTTCTTGGTGGCTATTTGCTGTTCCTTGGTTTGTAGATGAGTCACCGCAATCTCTGCCTTCACCTCCACACACCCTTCTACCTTCTGTACCTGTGCATCTGTGTCCAAATTCCCTTCGGCATGAGCTCATGGTATTATACACGTTAATCACAAATACAAAGACTATTTCTAAATCAGGTCACGCTCCCAGACTCCAGAAAGTAGGACTTGAACATGTATTTTGGGGGGACACCACGTGACCCACAACAGTCACCATCAACCGCTAAATTAGATGCCTTAGATAACCGAATAGTCGGGAATAGACCATTCTCATGTGTAAGGAACAACCTGAGCCTTCCTCCACTCACTCTAGGATTCCGAATGTAGAGAGAAAGTGCCAAGTCATCCAGGTGACAATGAATACCTTCCTCCGAATGTCCCAGGCATTACCTTTAGCGTAGCACCCTGGCCTTTCCTGCTCTGCTGAATAACACTTTCTGTCCTGCCAGTTTCGAAACTGCATCTTGCAGCTTTTTGGGAAGAAAGTGGATGATAGCTCTGAACTCTCCAGCTCCTCCAAAACAGAGGCCTCATCTGTGTCATCGGTGTCACCAGCATGAGTCTCCCCCAGCCCCCCAAAAAAGAAGATCTGCCTCCTACTGGAAAACGTAATTCCTGTCCTACTCACCAGGGCTTTGGCCACCACCCGCATCATCCCTTCTTCTCTGTCCCTGTGAAATAAATGTAGTTTCTCTTTGCCAGAAACAAGCGTCGCAGAGGTTCCCACTGAAGTTTGGGGGCGCCTGAGCCTCCGAGTGTTCAGTGGGTCGCAAGAGGATGCGAGGGGTTTAGAGAGGAGAGTAGCATTGCACTTCGGAGACCTTTATCTTTTCCAAACCTTGTGTCTGCAGATGGTATGGAAAGCTTGTGAGCAAGGGAAGCGTGAGGTGGGTGGGCACCTTCACATCTCTCGCAGGGCTGGCATTGATGAAATCCGAAAGGGAGAACTGAGAAGTGGTCGTCTGGGGAGGGCTAGATGGGTGCCCTGACCCCGGGAAGGGGGCGGAGCTGGCAAACCCAGGCACTTTAAGGCCCTGGAGGATTGGAGTTTTTGAAAGGTAATCTCCACCTGGAGAACCAGGCCTGCCAGTCCACGACAGGGATGGCATGCCACTTCTGCCAGACCAGGGTCCCAAGCCCGATCAGCATGAGCATGATGCACATGCGCAGGCGCGAATTCACCAGCAGCAAGGGGTAGGTGCACACGGTGGAGATGAAGACCAAGAAGATGGTGGCCAGTGTGAGGAGCAGGCTCACGAACTGGAACACAAACTCCCGGGGACAGCACCTGCGATTCTCTGTCATCTCCAGTTGGGTCACTTCCTGTAGAGTTTCCAGCTTGGATATACGACTCTTGAAAGTCTCCGTGACCTCCTGCAGGTGACAAAATCACAGAGGTCTGAGGGGAAGTGCGATCATTTATTTACCTGGGTTCCTGAGGGGTGCACAGCAAGTGTTGGTTGAGGATTTAGGAGAGAAGTCGAGAACCGAGAGCACGTACAAGCTGAGGGCCCTGTCCTGGGAGGCTCTGTGTCTCCCAGCAACAGCGAAGGTCTCATCCGACTCAGCCCTCAGCCAGTGTGGCCTGGGACTGAGAACCTGGCCGTGCGAGAGCTGACCAAGGACAAGGGTCTGAGGGTGTGAAAGAGAGTGAGACTATCTGTAGCAGGAGAGGGAACTCCTCCGCTCACGCTTGCTATCCCGGGGCCTAAAGCAGGGGTTCCCAGTGCGTGCTCCCTGCACCAGCAGCAGCTCCTCGGGACTCGTCAGCACCCCCTGCAGGTGGTTCCGACATGCACTCAAGTATGAGAACCACCGTGCCCAAGTTCCCAGATCAGCTAAGCTGGATGCGGGGAAGTGCGGCATGAACGTAGAGCGGACACCATCGGCTCTGAAATGAATGTGTGAGTTGCCACTGAACCCTCGGCAGGGGGCACGGCTTGAGGCTCCGTCTCCTTCCTTGCTTTGGAGAGTATCAGAACAGATTTGCTCATCTTTTGCTTGTCATCTCTACATCCTTCTCACTGGCCATTTCTCAAAAAGCTCCCCCATCGGGTACTCACCCACATTTCCCTGGCTCTCTCATAGGACAGATAGGCCATTTTCTCTTCGGTGCAGGCCAGAGTCTGTTTGAGGTGGTAAATCTCATTCAGGTACCCCTGCTGGTAGTCATTCGCCAGTTCTTCTAGTAACACGCGTCTTGGGAGTAAAAGAGAAGGCAATACTCCCTGAGAACCCTGCCCAGAGCTCATCCTATGTCAGGAGCAGACTCGGGTTCAGGGCCCACCTTCCTCCGCCGTCCCCAAGCTCCTGTGAAACCCCGCCTCCTCCTCCAGTTCTACACCTCAGACACGCCCTCACTGATAGTCATGTATCTATCTCCTATATATTGTTCCTCTTTCGTAACAGCTTTAGCAAAATAGAGATAGACTACAAGTTATAGAAATCAATATCTAAATTACCCTTATATGCTATTAAATTCCACATACATTCCCAGCACCAGTGTTTGGCATGCAGTAGTTATTCTACGAAAGTCTGCAGATTATAGAGATGGAGCAGTCATAAGAGACCACATAATGTATGATTCCATTTGTATAAAATGCCCAGAATAGACCAATCAAGAAAGGCAGAGTCAGACCAGTGGTTGCCGGGGGGCTCGGGGAGAGAGCAGGTGGGGAGTGACTGCTAATGGGGATGGGGTTTCTTTTTGAAGTGATGACAGTATTATGGTCTGCAATGAGACAGTGCTGATGGTTGCACAACTTTGCAAACATACTACGAACCACTGAATTGTATACTTTAAATAGATGAACTTTCTGATATGTGAATTGTATCTCAATAAAGCTATTATTAAAACAAAAAATAAAAACAAATATAGCATCGTGGTAATGGTTGCATAACTCATTAAATTTACTAAAGATCATTGAAACGTACAGTTAAAAATAATGCATTTTATGGCATGTAAATTATATCTCAGTAGAGCTGTTAAAAAACACAAACAAAACACCACTACCTGCGGTTTATGGCTACGTATGTGAGTAGTAAAAGTATAAAAATATATAGGTGAGAAGAAGGGGGATGGGACTGGGGGAAGTGTTAATGAGAAGAGCACCGAATGAATTTTTTAAAGTTTTATTTCTTTAAAAAATAAGATTTGAAGCAAAAATGGTAAGAGTTAAGGTCTGAGAAAGCTGGGGGGGATTGGTATATAGTGTTGATCATGTTATTCTCTACATTTTCCCTGGGTTTGGAATGTTTCATAATTTAAAAAAAAAAAAAAACTTTTCGAGCTTCCTCATTTCAGCACCAGGAAGGACAGGCCAGAATAACAGATGCCAAGTGACTTCTAGCATTGTCATTCGGGGAAGAGCCAAGGAAGGCTTCACCCGAGCTGGGGAGCAGAGACACTAGAGAAGAGAAAAGGTACTGGAGAGCACTGGAGGCACAGAATGGCTGGGGCCCAAGGCCCATGGAGAACAGGGCGATAAAGGACCAAGCCGATGGCCATGGCTCTGCCGTGCACAAGTGTGTAACCAGTGGTGCTGTTGCAGAGACAGGGAATGTGAGGGGAGGAGGCGATTTGGTCCTGCTTCCAGGACTTGACAGACACCCATATGGAGATGTCCTCCAGGCAGCCAATAAGCTGAACGCTCACTTGTTGAAAGCCAATTTGTCAAGAGGCAATTCATAACAGCGTTTCAAGGCACATTCCATTAGTCTCTGCCCTGCTCCCTGTTGAGAAGAGAGTGGGCTGACAACATGGCCGAGGCTACTGCTCATAGAGAGAGGGAGACACAGGGTGTCCACCCCAAAAGCAGATTCCACATAACTGCCTTTTCATTAACACGAAGCATCTAGCCACAACATTCGAGATATTAACTATGTTCAAATATAGTCTCATTAATATATTTTTCACAAAGTCAATGAATAGATTCTTCATTAATACATTTATATAAGAATTTATAAATATATTCTTAAACGTATCCTTGCGTAGATTATTGAATAAGATGATGTCCATTCATTAGGATATTATCTCAGCCTCCTCTTCTCTTGCCCCCAGACTCCTCACCCTCTGGCAGCAGTGTCCCAGCTGTGACACAGCTGACTCTCCTCCTTGTCCCTCTTTCGGTCAAGGACCCCTCTCTGTCTACCTCCTACAGTCGCAGAGACAAATGGATCACTCTGGAAAATGCTCTTACAAAGACAAAATGATGACTGGTCAAGCAAAATGCCCCCTAAATCTTCCAAAGCCGTTAAGTCCTCCCTCTCCAATACGAATTGTCATAAACGATATTGTTACAAAAGAGTATATTCTTGACTCTGAGGACTGGCTTTTGGCAGTCCTCAGTCAACAGATCTAGAACCGAATGGCCTGCATCTTGGAGAAGCCTGAGATGAAGAAACAGATGTGGGGGAAATCGGGCTGCAGGGGTAGGGCAGGAAGGGCGGCAGGCACAGTGAAGAGCCTCCTGGGCGTATGTGGGCCAAACTGCAATCACACACATCTTAATAGGAGAGAGACAGGGAGCTTTTACACACAGAGCGCAGTGAAATGTGAAGATGCTGGCTGGCCTTGAAGATCGCAGTGATGTGACCACAAGCAAAGGAGCTCGGCGGCCACCAGAAGCTGGAAGAGTCCAGGAATGGATTCTGTCCTAGAGCCTCCAGCAGGAGAGCGGCCCTGCTGACATCCTGACTTAAGTCAAATAAAGCTGATTTCTGACTTCTGGCCTCCAGAACTGCAAGAGAATCAATTTCTGCTGTTCGAAGCCACCAAGTTTGGGGTAATTTGTTATGACAGCTGGAGGAAACTCCTTCAGGGTGCTTCTGGCATCTAGTGGGTAGAGACCAGGGACGCTGCTCAATATCCTACAATGCACAGGACAGTGCCCACGACACAGAATCATCTGGTCCAAAATGTCAATAGTACTGAGGTTGAGAAAACCTGGGCTAGGGTGACATAATTTGGAGTTTAGGGCCCACCGAGTTGTGGCTGAACTTAAGAGGCTGAAATTTCAAAGACTGACCATACCAAGTGTTGATGAGACTGTGGGACAATTGAAAAGCTCATACACTCATCACGGGAATGTAAAACGGCATAATCATGTTGGAAAAACAGTTTGGCACTTTCTTAAAATGTTCAACATATATCCACGCTATTATGGTCCACATATGAAAGCATATGTTCACAAAAAGACTTGTACCAGAATGTTCATAGTAGTTTTATTCGTCACAGCCCCAAATGGCAGTAGACGAATGAATAAACAAACTGTGGTGCATCCATACAATGGGATACTGCTGAGTAAGGAGTGAACTGCTCCTACACATGGCTTGGATGCATCTCAAAATAATTACACCGGGTGAAAGAAGTGAGACACGAAGGACCACATATTGTACGATTCCATTTGCATGAAATGTCGGGATAGACAAATCCATAGAAACAGAGGGCAGATTGGTGGTTGTCACGGGGCTGGGGGAGGGGGAATGGGGTGTGACAGGGTCTCCTTCTGGAGTGATGAACATATTCTGGAACTAAGAGGTGATGGTTTCGCAACATTGTGAATGCACTAAATGCCACTGAATTATGTGCTTTAAGACAGATAATTTTACATTTTGTGAATTCCATCTCAATTAAAAAATTAAAAAGGAAGCCCCCATTGAAGGCAGATAGATTTACGTGTGAGAAGTGTCATAGGACTTTTCAGTTTGAAAGCTCAATTCGTGACAGCAGAGAGGACATGACCATCACAGGGGCATGGGTAGTGACCACACAGGTGTGGAGACTGTTTGACACTTCATTGAGCTGAACATATACATCACATGCCTTTTTCTATGTCTGCATCTAGCTCACATAAAGGATTTTTTTAAAAGATTTGAATGAGATACATACATATACGTATATGTATATATCTTTTTTTAATGCAACAAATTCCTGTGTCCCCCTCACCTAGCTTAGGAAGCCACACGGCCAGGCCAGGAGGTGTCGACATGCTCTCAGGTCTGTACTTCCTAGCCGTGCGGCCACTCATGCCTCTCCGAGATTCTATCTCCCCAGCTGTAAAGTGGGCTTCTGAACACTACAGGTGAACAATGCTAAGTGCTCCCTGTTGTCACTATTATTCCATAAAGTCATCTTCAGCCCATTCTCTACTTCTCTGGGTAAATCTGAGTCCTATAGACCTGCTTCTTTGCTTCTATTATATTAGAATGAAAGTAGGCAAATCTGTTTGCTTTTGAGAGAGCTTCCTTTTGAATTTTTTAGGTGAGATGAAATTCACGAAACATAAAATTATCTGTCCTAAAGTGCGTAACTCAGTGGCGTTTAGTGTACTCACAATGTCAAGAGCTCACGTAAGCACAACGTCCCTTTGGCCTGGGCAGCATAGAAACCTATGGGGATGTGCACAACCGCCACGGGTCTTGCTTTACATACATCCAGCCTCGGAAATGTTATTTCGACAAAGGGGTCTTTAAGAGTACCAAGATTTTAGATTGGGTTGCCACGTCCTATGAAAATTACCTCCAAAAGAAATTCCGATTGGTTATCTTACTTGACAATAAGTTGCCCCATAACACTCTGTAACTGCCCTTTATGGATTTGTCAAGCAGGGTAAAATCGGAGAAGATTTCCCAGAGGAAACAGAAGCGGATTGTTCCCCACGCGCGTCTTCCCCGCCACACGCAGGTACTAAAGGGACTGCAGAGTTCTTTCATGAAAATGCTGAGAATCTCAATTCACCTAAGAGAATCCTGTCCTCCCTTTTTTTTCCCCCACTTATTTAACAAATATTTATTGAGTACCCACTAAATGGCAGGCCCAGTTTTAGGCACGAGGAATATAGAAATGGACAAAATAAAGCTCCTTTTTTCAATCTAGGAGAGAGAAAGGATTAGAATGAATGAATTCGAAAGACGGCAGGGATCAGGGCCCCTGAGAAGTAACCAAATCAGAATGGAGGGGGTCCCTTGAGAGACCGAGTTTGCCTTTTTGGGGGGTGAGCCAGTCTTGTCTTAGACGAAAATAAAATTGAGCCACCACACAGCGGAGAGAAAGCATTCCCCGGAGGCAGTCAATTTCAGAATCAATGTCCCAAACGGGACCTTGCGCCCCAGCTCAGCCAGGAGCACAGGTGAAGGGAACAGGGCTGACGAAGCAATTCCAGTCGTACCTTACACGCCACTCCAGCAGCCCGGATGGCAGGACGCCTCGGTCGGTAACTGATGATGGGCGTCTGCTAGGCTCACTGCCACCTCGGCTGTCTCCCGCCACCCCAGTCAGAGCCGCAGCCGCCGGATCACCTGGCGGGACCTGGAGCTGGAGCCGGAGCCCCGTTTGCCAGCAGAAGACCGGGGTGGGATGCAGCGGCGGGCAGGGGAGTAGCCCTCTCCACTGCGGGCGCAGGCGCCGGGGACACACTGAGCTGCTCCTTCCCCCCTCCCCGGCTCCCCTTGACCCTCCTCTCACGGTCCTCACCTGCGTTTCTCCTCCTGAAGGGACTCCAGCGACACCCGCAGGTCTGTCAAGTACCTCTCCCTGAGATTCTGATAGGACATCTGGAGGCCGAAGTTGAACTTCTCGACTTCTTTGAGCTCTTCCTTCACCTGTAACAACAGGGATCGCTGGCGGGCCGCACACTTCGTCTCCGAGGACTTCCCCCGCTGCAAGGCTGCAATGCGACTCTTGAGAGGGAAACGTCCGACGATGTTGGACAGGTTGGTGGACAGGCAGTCTTTCCTCCCGGGCTTGGGGGGCCCTGAAGATGGGGCCTTCTTTCTGGGCTGCTGGGAGTTGTCCTGGCTGCTTTCTGTCTTCAGCGCTAAGCCCTTGGGCCGGCAGCCCTCCTTCAGTTCCTGCAGCTGCTGGTGACACTGGCGGAGCCTTCGCTCGATTCGGGCAATGGTGGCAGAGGCCCGCTGGTTCACCTTCTCGAAGACCTGCCGGATGTGGGGGGCCTGGCGCCGGTCGGCTTTGGACACCAGCTCTATGTAGCCCACGGTGTTCTTGTCCCGATTGATCTTCTCCACTCTCAGCTGTTCTGAGAGGTAGAGCATGCGGTGCCTGATGCTATCCTGTAAGTTCCGGGCCACGTCCCTATCTAAGAGGCTGGAATGACCGCTGGCGCCATCCTTGCTGGGTGACAGGGACCTGCACGAGGGAATGTTAGAGGGGAGGGTTGCACTTGGGCTCTTAGTGTATTTCGCCTGCATCAGGAAACAAATCACAAAACGGGAACTTCTGTGAGCTGCGAATAGGAGAATTGAACACGTTATTGCTTCACTCTATAAAAATACTCAGACATATACACAGATACTTACAGAGGCAAGATTTATATATTTGAGATGAGCCCAACACAGACCGGAAAAGTCGACTTCATCTTCTGGGCCCTTCTCCCCTCCTTTTCAGCACCCGACTTTTTGCTCTATGGGTGTACCTCATTATGACCCCCAGGTGGCTAGAATCCCCTCTCTACACCTACCCCTTCTGTTCTTGGGCTTCTTCTCTTCCAAGAATTAGCAAGTGCACGTCTCATTTTGTAAAGAACTGTTCTCGCAAAGCATGAAATAAGCTAAGTCACATTAAGCCATACACCTTGCTGTATTGCTACTGCCGGGCAGATGGAGGAGGTAGATGGACAGCTTTGCATCCTAACAGGCTTGCTCTTTCATCCGGTCATTCCTTCAGCACATATTTCCTGAGTGCCTACCATGCGGTACAGAAGCCAGATACATTCCTTGCTCTCACAGAGCTGATATTCCAAGGTGGAAAATTCCATTGTGACCCAAACGAGTCTCTCACATGGCAAAAGATAACAGAAAGAACACTGCCTTCCAGACAGAGCCGAGTCCAAATCCTGACTCTATCTCTCTGGGACCTTGGGCAAGTTAATAAACTGATCAGAGGGTCAGTTTTCTGATGTCTAAAATAAAGATGATCATAGCAGCATAGCTGGAACATAGTGGACCAGGGCAGGGTGGACAGTGATGAGCTAGGAGGGTCAACGGGGTCAGAACAGGTAGATCCTGTGGGGTTTTTTTTTTTAATACTTTTTAACTAAAAGTGCCTGCGTGACCAGTTTTGATCTGGAAATGTTCTCTCAGTGGCAAGTCAGGAGAGATGATATTGCAATAGATGGCTTGGTTCTGTGTATTTTATTATATGCAAATTATATCTGAATTAAAATAAAAACACAGTGTGATACCACTATGCACCCAGCAGATTGGCAAAACTTAGACTACTGACAATAAATGTCAGCCAAGATACAGAGCAACAGGAACTCTCAGTCACTCCTTGTAGGAGCGCAATGGGTACAAGCACTTTGGAAAAGCATCCGGTAAGATTGTAAAGCTGAAATCATGCATACCGAATGGCCCAGCAATTGCACTCCTGGGTGTGTCCTTGGGAGACAGACACACTGATGTTCCCAATAACCAATGGCTAGAAACAATGCACCTGCCCATCGATAGTAGAATGTGTAAGCGAACTGTGCAGCATTGAAAATGAACCACAGCCTTGAAACATGAATGAATGAGCATAATGTTGAACAAAAGAAGCCAAACGCAGAAGAATCCATACTATACAGGGTTCCATTCGTATAAAGTTCAAAAGCAGGCAAAACAAAATGATGTTGTTTAGGGATGCATACACAGGCAGTAAAGCCGTAAAGAAAAGCATGTGCATTGGTGGCATAAATGTCAGGATAACGGTTCCCACTAGGGTGGGAGAAGGGGACGGGGATTGAGAGAGACACATGGAGGCCAGGGCACTTGACTTGAGTAGTAGTTAAATGTGTGTTCACCTTATCATCACTTCCTAAACTGTATGTTGATGTCTTCTATACCTTTATGTATGTATGCTGGATTCCACAATTAAAAGTTTTAAAATGTTCAATAGATGAATTTATTAGCAGGTTAGAAATGGCTGGAGAAAGAATTAGTAAATTGTAAAGAAAGCATCTAGAATATGGCACGGAGGCACAAAGAGAGAAAATTTGAAAAACAATGAAAAATAGACGACATGGAAGATAGAGTTAAAAAGCCTAAGAAAAAAAATCTAATTGCTAGCCCAGAGAGAAGACAGAATGTGGCAGGGGCAAGATTTAAAGAGATAATCACTAAGAACTTTCCAGAACTGATGAAAGACACAAATCCATAATTCAAGAAGCCTACTAAATCCAAACAGGAAGAACAGAAATAGATCTATACCTAGACACGAGATCTTAAAAACGGCCAGATTTTAAAATCTGATTATCTTTAAAATCATGACTTTTAGACTGAGAGCTGACTTCTCAATGGCATCAATGAAATCCAGAAGAGAGCTGAATAACGATTTTCAATGTGCCAAGAGAATAACTGTCAGAGAGAGAAAAAAATAGGTCACATTCAAACAATCAGGAGTCAGAATGTCTTCAAACTTTTCGGCAAAGCAATGGGACCTAGAACACAACGAACTAATGCCTTCCAAATTTGGGCGGGTGGGGAGATGATTTTTCAACCTAGAATTGTGCACCCAAACTGTCAATTGTAAGGTTAGAATAAAGACAGTTTCTGACATGAAAGTTCTCAAATAGTTTACCTCTTCTGCATTCTTTCTCTGGAAACTACTAGAGAAGGTATGCCAACAAAGCCAGAGAGGAACCTAAGGGGTAGAGATGAGATGTATGAAGCAAGGGCCCCAAGCCAAAAGAGAGGCAAATGCAACCTCCAGGATGATGGCAGTGGAGCCCAGCCTGGCAGCTGGTCAGAGGGCCAGGAGGGCAAGTCAAAATGCTCCAGGAGAGAGAGCTCTGATGGAATGAAATGCCAGGCATCTCTGAGCAGCTGCAGAGGAGATGTAGATAGTTGGTGGGAGTACTGACCTATGAATACATATCAGAGAACAAGCAACACAGGGATTGGGGGAGATAATGTTAACTCTAAAGAAAACAAAGCGTTGAAAGAGAAAGGAAACGTCATCAGAGTAATTACTCAGTTGTGACCAGTGTTCCCATGGACTTGATAATGTGACCACCAAGGAGTGATCTAACCCAAATCATTGTATACCGTACTGGAAGGACTGGGGAGGGGGGGCAAGGGTAAAAGAGCTATATCACCGTCCTTTATAGTGAGAAGTCATTTGATAATTCCTAAGATATATATATTAAAAAAAAAGAAAAACAAAAAAATTGCACTATAAACAATTTATTTAGAGAACCGGAGGTAAATGCCATAAGAAATAGCTAAAAGGGTGGAGAGTGGTCAGTTCTGGAGAGTGGATGATTGGGTGGGTGGGTGGAAGCCAGGGATTGCTATTTTTTTTGTCACGAAACTTGTAGAACCATTTAACTCTTTGGACCAGTGGCTGGCAAACTGTGGCCTGGTTTTATACAGGTGTGAGCTAAGCGTGGTTTTTACACTTTTAAGTGATGGAACAAATCAGAAAAAGATTTTGCGACATGTGAAAATTACATGAGATTCAAATTTCAGGGTCCATAAACAAAATGTGATTGGCACATAGCCACTCTCATTCATTTACATATTGTCCCTGGTTGCACTTGAACCATCACAACGGCCAAGCAGAGTAGCTGCAACAGAGAACATGTGGCCTCAGATATTTACTATCTGGCCCTTTACAGAAAAAGTATGCTGATCCCTGCTTTAAAGTATGTTTATATACGCCATTGATAAGTGAAGGAACTAAATAATGGTTTAAAAAGGAAATAGGGAAAATTAAAGTTTGTTAATGACTTGTCGTGTTGGGGAATTTTGCAGATATCCCAGAACACTCAAAATTGAGAGAAGAATGTTGGTGGAAAAATTAAAGGAAAAGGCCAGATACATAACATCCAAATAACGAAGAGGATACAAAAAAATGGAACTTGATTAATCCCAAAACAGGAAAGAAAGAAGGAAAAGAAACAAGGCACCATGATAAATAGAAAATATAAAATAGAATGTCACTAAGATGTGATTAGCAATGGCCATCTGCCATGTTCTTGAGAAGACTCAATATTATGTATATGTCGGCTTTCTACATATCGACCTAAAAATTCAATGAAACCCCAATTAAAAATCTAATGGGGGTCTATGGCTATACCTCCCTGAATGTGCCCAATCCCGTCTGATCTTGGAAACTAAGCAGGGTCGGGCCTGGTTAGTACTTGGATGGGAGACCACCCAGGAAGACCAGGAGCTGGAGGCATTAAAAAAAAATCTGACAGGAATGTCTTATGAATCTTAAAATAGCTATTTCGAAATTTGTTTGGAAGAAAAAAATGCACAAAAAAGTTAAGAAATTTTTGAAAAATATTAATAAATGTGGTCTCGAGACAACTGGTTATTTGAATAAAATTAAGGTAGAGTGTTTCCATATACACGACAATAAAGTCAAGACCGAATAAAGAACTAAACATAAAAATGAAACTGTAAAAGTATTAAAATGATATAATAGGATTTTAAAAATAAGCTTTGTGCACAGAAGACCTTTCTAAACAAGATTTAAACCAAAATGCCATAAAACAAAAAAGTGTTTAATACATTCTTAAGGAGAAAAAAAGCATGAAGCTTAAAAAGAAGCAACACTTAGGTTTTGGTTCAAACACCTGCTTCTTCTTAAAAATTAAGGATCTGTTAACTTTTTTTTTAAAAGCAGCAGATTGAGAAAAAAATTGCAATATCTCTAATAGGTAAAAGTCTAACATAATATACAGATAAGTCCTACAAATTGAGAAGCTAAAAAGAAATAATCCAATACAAAAACAGTGAGGGATAGCAATAGCCAATTCAGAAAGGACGAACTACGAATGGTAATAAATGTATGATAAATGTGCAAGGAACTTGGGGAAACGTAAATCAAAGCAATGATTAAATACGATTTTCTCATCCACCAGGATGCCGCGCATTAAAAAGGCTAACAATATCCAGCGTAGGTGAGGATGTGGGGAAATGAGTACTCATGTACACAGCGAGTAGGAACACACATAGGGGCGGGGTTATTCTTGAGACATCAGTAGTATCGATGAAAATTTCAATGCACGAACCCATTAACCAGACAAGAACGTGGACACCTAACCGCATTCAGGGACACTTGGGGCTCTCAGGAGCTCAGCAGTTTTGACGATGTTCGCCAGGGGTTGAAGTTAGGGTATAGTGTCGTGGAGATAGTGCCACTGGGAGCCCTGCCGATTCTTGGTAGACCATCTCGAAGTCAGAGTGGCCTTGAAGATGGGGACTTTCACCCAGAAAGTCAGGGAGTCCCCTCACTTAGGCTCCCTGGGAAAGCTGCAGGCTAGCGTTGGGCTACTGCCACCTAAACAGTCCCAGGGGTCTTGCCGCAGAGAAGGTTCTAGGAAGAGGAGGTCAGCACAGAGACACCATACTGTCTCGGAACCCTCAGCCTTCTCATCCGCTGAGGAGCCGACTTGGAGGCTGGGCTGCTATGGGATACGAGGACCCACAAACTGTAAAATTCCAGTGTGGCTTTTTTAAGACTGATGAAACACGCAAAACAAACGTCGCCATTGTAACTATTTTAAAGTGTGTGAGTCGGCTGCCCCTTTACTTCTTTCATCACGTTGTGCAACCACACCGTCTTTCATAACTTTTTGATCACCCCAAAAGTAGACCCTGGACCCACTTACGGAGGCAGTCCTCTTTGAATTAATAGCACGAGGAAGTTATAAAGAAATTTTTCCGAATAATGTCCAATATACAAATAAGAAATGTTCAAAATTCATTGAAATGGGCACGCGGAGGGAGACACAGGACGGAGTCGCGCGCGGGTGCGCGCGCGCGGATGAAGCCGCAGTTGAGGGAGCCGCAGCGGAAGGAGCCACGCAGCGGAAGGAGCCACGCAGCGGAGAGAACGGTGCACGGCGGCGAACGGCACGCGGAGGGATCCGCGCGTGGAGAGTACTTGACGGACTACAGAACGCACTCCCCGCCATTTGCTCTTCAGACGCCGAAGAGTTCACACCCATGGCTGATGCTGACGCGGGCTCTACCATGGCCGAAGAAGGCAAGCCTGACGCGAAAACTGTCCAGGTGCTGCGGGACATGGCCAATCGTCTGCGCATCCACTCCATCAGGGCCACGTGCGCCTCGAGCTTCGGGTAAGGCCCCTTCGTCGAAGCCCTCATGGCGCCGAGCGGTAGCCCCAACAGCGATGGCGGCGTGAGCAGAGGGAGGCGTCCGGCCTGGGTGGGCTTGGTTGTAGTGGGCCGATTTAGGGCTACTGGGTCTCGGCTACCACCCCTAGATACTAGCCAGACATGGCTGCCGTTGGCTGACTTAGAGGCCAGCCTCGTGCTCAGGCACCCACACTAAGATGCCCTCTTGTGGTTGAAGCTGGTAGCCCCCCGGAAGCGACGCGGGTGGGCCGACGGGCCGGTCGGGCGAGGG